TCGTTTGTATCGGAATTGAAATTGTGGATGTGTGTGTGTGTGTGTGTGTGTGTGTTTACCGTTCGTTCGCTTTCGGATAGATAAGTAAATTAGTTTGTTATATTTTGTTCGTTTGGGATGATAATGATCCGGAATGAAAATGATTAATCTGGTCAACTTTCATTTCTGGACGAATGGCCTTTTCCAGCAGCTGCATTTGCGAATGTTTTTTCTTCTTTTTCCATTCGTATTTGTATAATTACTCTGAAATTTAAAATGAATGTGAATAAATAAAAAAAAAATAAAATAAAAATAAATTTGGAAGCCGCCAATCGAGATTTTAAATTTATTTTCACTTACATCAAATTTTCCATCTCCATTTTCAGATATTTGAGGTTGCCCATCAAACGTTTAGCATATATGAGATTGCCGGAGAGAAATATTCTCCTGAAAAAATATTTCGATACATTGGAATATGGAAAACTAAATAACCAAAATAAAATGAATTGACTAACTGTTTAATGGAAGAATAAAATTCCATGATATTTTCCATTTTGTGTTTCAATTCCTCATGCGGTGACAATAATGGATTCTTTTTGGGTGGTGAAGCTTCGCATTCGCTAGAACTATTCGTTGATTCTAGGTCTATCGCTGTATCTTCAAAACTTTTGTTGTTGATGTTTTTCTGCCAAACTAAGCTGAAATATGAAATTTCAGATGAATATTAGAGTCATTTGAGATCTCATAAAAAATCGAATGAAATTTCATGAATTATCAATATATTAAAAAATCGTGATTGAAAGAGCGTTAGTACGGCCACATTTAAATGCAATGATTTACCGGACCAAATAATTGCAAATCTATTTCCGGGCATCGATGATGGAAAAGAGCTGAAATTTCGGCGAAAAGGTCATGATGCCGCACAAATGGTACAAAAACAGCGAACAACACAAAAATATTGGCCAAATGCTGTACGTAGTGCATCAGCCACGGGTTATTATCACGTTTTAAATGACAATCGAAAACATGTTCATACAATATAGCACTCAACGAATCCACTGATTGTTGTTTTTTTTAATTCCACTTACATTGTTATTTCCAACTTTGACATAAAATCCTTGATCGAATCGATCATAAGATCAGCTTCTTTAGCACGATGGTCATACGATGCGTGACCCTTGAACAGTCCACTGAAATCAGATTTCGATATAAAAATACTGGATAGAAATAAATAAAAATAAATTCTTTTACTCGATAAGGCCGGAACATTCATTCACGAAACATCTAGTATTATTATCAATCAGTTTTCGGACTGACGTCATCGTGATATAACTCAAATTAATCCGATTTATCAATCTTAAAACAAGGAATTAGAAAAAATAAAAATAGCGTTTATTAAAAAAAAAACGATCACCATTAAAATACATATGTGAATACAATTCAATCTATTAAATTCATATCAATCTCTGGGTAATATGACAATATGAACGATATTCTTACGATATTGATTTACGACAGCGAAAAAAAAATGTGAATGTTTCTAGAGTGAAATATTATGTACTGATTGTTGATGTCACAATCAAATTTAATTATTCTCACTGATATTCTACAAACAAAATGAATTGAATATCGATTTAAATTTTATTTGTCAATTTTTCAAAAACTACAGAGGCTGCAACAGTGGTAGAGAAGAGTGAAATGAAACACGTCTGGTTTAGTTGGAATGTAGACTGACCTGAAGTTGGTCACAATTACAATCATTTATGAGCCGCGCGTTCGGGCTAAAAGCCCAACTGTAACCCACGCCATCTAGCGAGATAAAACTACTTGTCTAATTTAGGCACATTTATATCATAAAAATTAAATGAAAAAACATTTCTTTCATAAAATCATACAATTAAAAAAAAACATTAATTATTCTCATTTCGTTTTAAACATTAATTGATTTAAATTTAACTTCGTTTTTTCAAAAAAAAAATTTAAGTCCGTTCCATTGCAAAACACTTTGAGTATTGTCATTGTATAAAAGATGGCGTGCTAAGCAATTATGAATGAGGTGAGAATTGGTTTGACATTAGATTTTATGTCATAATTAAATTGTTTAACATTAAAATATGATTTTACGGTTATCATGGAAACGATTTCGAATGACAAACAAACTTCTTTAAATAAAAATTTGCCAGTTAATGTTTGTTCGTTTTTTTTTTTTTTTTTTCAATAAAAGATTTTGTTCCATTCCGTCTTGGAATTATAAAAATTTTCATCACTTTTTTGCCATTAATTGAATGGGAATTCACCAAAATAGTGAAAAAACACTAACTATGTGTCGAAAATTTTTTACTTGCAAAACAGATTGAATTGAGAATTCATTGACTCTTTCACACATGAAGAAGAGTTCAGAAAATTAGGGACTCGGGAGGGTACATTTTTTACCACAATGTGTTATTCAAATAGCTGAATGTGGCGCTAGTTTTTAAAATTGGTTAGGGACTCAGCAATACAATATTCTGAACTTTTTGTATGTATCTCATACTATTACTCATCTGTAATTACATACAGTGCCGATCAAAAGTTTGGACCCACTTTAGAAAAAACGCATTTTTCGTCAAAAAGGGGATTATTTTTATAAAAACTGAATATATTTTGGTTTCAATTCGTAAATCTTACGGAAATAAATCGTTTTAGACTTAAAATGTAGGATGTTATTGGATTGGTTTGAGAAATTTGATCATTAAATAGTAAAAATTGAGTTCATTTTTTTGTATGAAAATCATCTGAGTTGGTACCGATCTTTGCACATATTATCAACTACTGTGCATGTAATTGTTTGGAAATTACTCAAAATGGCTCGTACACATTCCAAAATATCTGCCACAAGTGGATTTTTGTAAATTACGTGAGATTTCTTTTTGCTGTGCGAGCAGAAATATTTTTTTCACAAAAATGGTGAAACTACATGTAAATATTGACCAAAATAGAAAAACTTTCATTTTTCATCCAAAGCAATGAGAAATCTTATATACCTTCTGACAATAAAGTACCCGGAATTCATCATTTTAGCCGCTTCAGGTATAGGTATCGTGTAAAGTATTTTTTTCCTGAGTAATGTAATTAACAAAAATCCACTTGTGGCAGATATTTTGGAATATGATAAACGATTTATTTCCGTAAGATTTACGAATCGAAACCAAAATATATTCAGTTTTTATAAAAATAATCCAATTTTTGTCGAAAAATGCGTTTTTTCTAAAGTGGGTCCAAACTTTTGATCGGCACTTTATGTGCATATCTATGGGTGAGATTGAGAGTGGAGTATGTTTTTTTTTCGATTTATATTTTTGAAAAGGCGAGTATGTTTTCTGATGATTCTGTTGGCGTTAAAGTAGAGTATGTTGTAGTACCGTCTAGCCTCCGCGGTCTTCATGGTTTTCGCGCAACTGATAAAAGATAACAACATGGTGTCTTCGGCAAAGTTGTAGTACTCGAGGTCTTCTATAACTAAGCTGAAGACAATTATCTCTTATCTCTTATCAGTTCCGCGGAAACCGTGAAAAACCGCGAGGACCCGCTAAAAACGAACATACTCGCTTTTAACCATTTTTAAGTCGACAGAAACTTGCTCTTCTCTTTCGTAACAAAGTCAATGAAACATAGACTACTCTCAATCTCACCCATAGATATGCAATTAAAAAATAGTTTAATGAAATATGTAGATGTGTGTGGGTGTGTATGAATGAAATCGATTTTGAAAGCATTGAAACAAAACAAATATCCACATCTGTAGTTCGCAGTGCGAACTTCGCACACACTGTTTATAATTTTTTGCTGATATATCAACTGTGGATGTGTGTATGCGTGTCTTATGTATAATTTAAATCGAAAATGATAGATCTTTTTTGCTACATTTTGATGAATGATTTTTTTCTAGAAAAAATACAAGTAATTTCAGCTGTCGAGCTGTCGTTCATTGAATTTCAAATGATATTATCATTTCGTTTTCGCAGCAGTTTTGCCAAATAATTGGATTTCTATCGTGAGGGTTAAGAAAAAGTATATACGATATCCGATCTCACTGTCAACAGTATCTCAAAATCAATGCAAAATGTTTTAAATGTCAGCAAAAAAATCATTTAAAAGCCGCTGCATTTATTTCTACCAAGCCACACTCAACCAGGAAGGCATACATTCTCTCTTTTTTCTACTGTTGAAAAGTTACTAGTTATAAAAGTCGGCACTTTGTACACAGTCGTTAGTCGTTAGTCGTACTTGTTTGACGCATTCCATTTTTCGGGCTTGTTACCAAAATTTGATTAAAAGACGAGTCTTGGTTGGATTTGAACTATTTTAAAGCATCGTCGAAACATTTAAAAGTGAAATTGATTGAATTTTGTAATTATTTTCACAGTGAAACTACTCAATCGTTCGGCGAATATACGTTCACCAAGATGTACTATCAAGAAACCGAAGCCAATGCACCTAAGTGACCAAAATTATCCCAAGAAAATGAGCAAAATAATCAACAATTACCCGTGGCTGGTCCATCGAATGGGCAGACATCGCCGAAATTATTCAAGTTGGACATCGATTGTTTTGACGAAATATTCGAGTATTTGTCACTAGCAGATCTCGACTCATTTGGCCAAACATGCAAAGCGATGCACACAGTGGCCGGTGAATATTTTAAACGAAACTATTCAAATGCTGAATTACGCATGGCCGCTGGTAAACCGCGTTTATCTTGTTTTGGTGTCCGTTATTCAAGTATATATTCATCATCAACATTCAATCAATTTGTTACAAACATGACATTCGACACAAGAGATCCGAAATCACACGTCTACTTTTCATCACATCCTAACGAGTTTCGATCAATCAACAATATTATTATTGACCACATCGATTTAAACGAAAATGTGATAAACGCACTCAACGGATTTCTTCGCAAATTAGAAGTGGTAAATATAAGGAGCTGTCACGTCAAAGTGAATTTACGTACGATATTGAAACGGTGCGATAATATAAAGACTCTGAGTTTGGAATTTAACATTTTTGAAACTAAAGAGATGACAGAGCGACATTCATGGATGCGCCAGAAATATCCAAAACTTGAACACCTCGAGCTCATTCCGATCGGTTCGATAAATGGCTTGGAGTTGTTTTTCCAAAAGAATCCAAATCTTCGAACCTTTTCTGCCAGAGGGGATGACATCTGGAAACACCGAAATGAAATCGCGAATTTCCGAGTGCAGCTGGATTTACTGAAGATTCGAGACCTAATGATAACCAGTTCATTTGCTGCATTATGTACAGTGTTGAATGTACTTTATGATCAAAAATTCTACAGACGATTGCATATAGAAGTGGACATTCATAAATATCTACTTCCAACCGAGGATAGTTTTGGTGCTGCTTTTTCTTCACTTCGTGGTCTTGAGAGATTGAATGTTTATCGTGGGGAAAATGCACAATTTTTGCCCAAATTGCCTAATTTGAAAGAGTTGAAAATTCGCCCAAGATTTAGGGACGTTACATTGGATTCAAAACTAATTCCAGAGAAATTTGTGAACCTTCAGGGATTATGGACTGCAAATGCAAATGTTGAAAGTATTTTATCAATCGTTCAAAGGCCACCAAAACTTAAGATGCTCGCATTACGTAATCACAATGATGATTATGATGATCAGAAAAACATTCTGAAGTTATCAACTCTGGACAAAGTACGTCAAAAAGTGTTTGGGGCACAAAAATTAACAATCTATGTTCCGGAAGAGATGTTTTTGAGAACTAAATGGAGCATCGCAAACGGAGATACCAATTTACAAATGATCGAAATGAAACGATATTCATCGCGTCGCGTTGAATATTATCACTAAAAATCATAGAATTCAATGATGAAAGACAAAAGTTTCTTAGTTTTATAAGCAATAAATGTGTTTTCAATCTGCTAATAAAATGTCCAAAATTCAAAAATTATTAGTGTCATATTTTTTTTATCAATTTCGTAAATTTCAAGTAAACGTTAGACTATTGTTTGTGCTATGTTCAGAGGTTCGAAATTAGAGCAGCGCCAATTTCATCTCAAAACATCATCAATCTGTTTACTAATACCAGAAGTCTGGACTTTGTTCATCATTTATGCCAAATCCGGGTTTAAAATTAAATCCACAGCTTTAGCTCAGAACGATTTTGGCAAAACACTAGGTTTGCGAACACAAACACAATAACTATATTAACGTAACTATCTCCTCCAAACAAAACATCCCTACAAATCGACAAAATTGAACCGAAAAATCCGTATACTGGCACAAATTGTTAAAAAACTGTACAAATCCGCCATAAATATTACAATATCCATACGAATCCGTATAAGCTAGTACCTAAATATAATCCGAGCAGTACAGATAATTTGACGAAACCAGCTTAGAAATTCCGTACTGTGCGGATGAAATCCGTACGTCTGATCACCTTAAACTATATCGACCATTCCACACGAAATCAGTTGGAAATTGAATTGACCATCTTCGAATTGGCTGAAAATCTCTCTTCTTACTCAGTTAGGCATTTCTGCTTGTTGCTGCATTTGTTGTGCGTATCATTTATTTGCAGTCAATTTTTGGAAGAGGAACATCAAAGGAGAAACATTGCAATGAACGGAAAACTCTGTGATAGCACACCGTTAATTACTGTAAAATGCGCAATTAATTAATTGGAAGAAGTTATTCAAAGAAATTCAAACTAATTTTCGCCACAAAAGATGAAGAAGCGCGTTCTTTCTATGCAAAAATATTATCGAATCAATAGAAAAATTCTGTTCAAAAGCGGTTGAGTGCATGCAATTGTTGAATTATCATTTTTTGAAATGTATCTCATGGAATTTTTGAGAGATTTTCGATTACTTCCATTTCATCATTTGCAATTTATTTTGAAGTAGTGATTTGTTCTAGACTTTCGTTCATTTCAAATCGCTTAAATACTTTTCGTCTTACTGTTTCGCATTGACAGAAGATTGCATTGATACTCTTTCTCGAACCGAAAGAGAAGAAAGAGGAAAGTAGGTAAACGGTTAAAGGTGTATGTAAAGAAGAGTGCAAATTATAGATGGTACCACTAACTGTGTTCAATCACTTAATGGTGCATTTTTTTCAGTTAACGTACAACGCAATACAATGTATGTAGCAATATTCGTGTCTCCCGTACATGTAATGCATTAGCGCACACCGCACACATACACGCACGCATCGACGAGAGACACACATATGCGGTGCGATTTTGGTGTTATCGCGAGTGTTCCACAACAACATGCACACATATACACATAGACACATGTACACACATCACGCGTCTCCGAACATTTGACATACTGAAATGTGTGTACAAATGACAGCAACAACAAACGTGATATGGCCATAGCTTTTGACGCGGAATAAATAGTTGTGAACAAAACATTTTTTTATTTAATTTTTCAGCCATTTTTTGCGGACCAGAAAAATTTAGAATAGATACGTGCAGAGCTTCGTGGAAAAATTAAAATAAAACAAGGGAAACGGTCGGAAAATGGACAGACCGAGCTCCTCAACAAACCCGTAAGTAAATCATTTTGCATTATTCGATGCAATAGAACAAAGAATCCATGCCCACATTTCCCAGTGACAGATGACATTCAACAAAAACGTAAATTTTTATACTTTTTAGGATTCCGAATAAAAATTCGGAAGACAATTAATTTTCTTCACAAAAAATTCGATTAGATTTTTTTTATTTAAAATTTGCCCAAAATTATTTCAATCGAGCTGTGGCATACGTTTTAATAGATTTTCTATTTCATTTTTTTATAGCAATAAAAAGAAGTTTATACCGAAATCATATCGTCGATCGAATCTTTCGCCGGATGCAGACGAGTTGCAAATACATCCTGGGCACGAGAGATTAGAATTAGATAGAGATAGCGAAAGCGGTATGTTTTGTCTTGGTTTACCAGTCGTTTGCGGTGAAAACGTGTGAATGCATAAATGTTCCTGGAGAGTATCTGACACTTTTCGATTGTACAAAATGGTAAAAAGAATAGCGATTTTGAAATTTAGCGCAAATTATTTCTTTGGTAAATGCAGTACGACCACGACAGTTATCATCAAATAAAAAAAATATCATGGATATAAAATTAAATTATAAATATATTTCGCAATTGAACGTAATTTGAAATAGGTAGTCGATATAATTTGGATCGATTCTTTTGAATAGAAAGAATGACTGAGATTTCCACCTAAACTTTAAAATGTTGATATTCTGAGTTGTTGAAATAACTCTCTCGCACTGGGCCGCACGCCATTTAGTTGATATTCTGGCATCGCTTTGAGCCAATATATTCATTATTCATTTATCTCAGCCGTTCTTTCGGCGAATGATTTTGAAATGATTCAATGGTTTGTGTGCGGAAAAATCACAAATTTTTTGATACATCATCAGTTCTGTTGTAGGTTGGAATTGAATAAATTTTTAATGAACAGAACGATGTAGAAAAGTTTTCAAAACAATTATTCCGGTGAGTCATTGCTCATTGCGAATGCAATCCTTGTGATAACGATAAGAACGCACAACAAAATTAGATATGACTCCGCGGTCGTACTCATTTCATTCGGATAACATAGCATTTAAGAGCTATGTGTTCATTTAAATAGTCGAAATTAAAGTCGAATGTCAATCGAAAATGTCTGAATCATGGGGTCATGGAATATTTATGCAGTTGCAATGTTTATCACAGCCTGAATTGAGCTGCAATCAACTCATCATCAATCAACTCGTCAGATTTAAAATGAATGGGCTACATTCGATGGATCGGTCAATCAATGGTTTGTATCTAATGTAATCTGCGATTCGAACAATTTGAATAACTTCTTTTCTTCATTTTAGACAAATAAGCACTGGGAAGAGTTGGAACAGATTCATGTCATTCATCATCGTTTGCTTGACACGTCTTCGAAGCAAAACGAACGAAAATAATGGAATATCAATGAATCCAACATTGAAAAATCTGGAATCTCGGATCTGGCGGATCGAATTATTTTATGGATCATCTACGTCGATTTTTCTAACAAGGAACGCATTCCCATTCAGCCAACAATCAACATTGTATCAATCAACATCGCTTGGTTTGACAATGATTCGCCAAAGTTGATACAAATGTAGATTTTGTAGAAAAAGTAAATATCGTTGTCATTCTTCCAGAATCGAAAATTACACACAAAAAATTGCTTGTTAGAAAAGCAGTTTAGCTCGTCGATTATTTTTTTTTAGAATGCGGTTAATCACTGGAAAACAGGTCTAGGTAATTTGGCTAAACGTAGGCGTACACTGAACACATCTACCACATAATCTCCATCGGAATTTTTTAGTCAAATTAATCGTTTTTCTCATGTGATTGACTAAGCGAATTATCGAAGTGTTAGGGTAATTAGAACATAAGTGATTGAACGCACATACGCGCTTTACACTTTGAATTCTGTAAATTTGGAAGAAATTATTGAGTACGAATTTCATAGTGAATACCAACTAAGAATATACTGAACAAAAATCGATTTTTCTCTGAAAGCTGGCACTCTTGTGCCAACTGAACTTTGACACTCTAGTGTCGTTTCATGTCAAATGCAAATCTAACGCACAATCGATATTCTCTCGAATGAAATTTAGATCGAACCCGATCACGTGAGCCTCAACCATCAACATCGACCGCTCTATCAACATCTCAAACAACCATCAATGATCGTAGTCACCGAAAAAAAGAACACTCCCGCAGGAGGCGTCTATCTTCATCCGATTCATCATCATCATCATCTGGCTCATCAGGCTCATCCTCTTCATCTTCAACGGTTCGTTAACCATCTCATGAATTTGATAATAAATACTAATTGCTTTCGCCCAATTTCGCAGTACTGAAATCAATTGTTTTTCGAAAAAAATTTGACCGTGATTTTTTTAAAACTCTTTCAGTCAAGCAAGCACAAACCGTATTTCATTGACCCTGCAAGGGAGAAAGAACGGATTGAAAAAGTTTACAAAGAGCGTAGAGCTCGTGGACCAAAATTGTCGCGCGCCCAGAAGAAACGCACACGGTATGAAAAATATAAGCTAGAGAAGCGTGATGCGAATCGACGAGAACGGCCGGAAAATGGAGATCAGAATCATGATCGTTCAACGGCTCAAAACCAACGATCAACCGATACAACTCGATCTACGGATGACAGGAATAATCAGCAGCCGCAAATCATAATTGTTCCTGTGAGTTTTTCGATTAATGCTTTCCAAATCAATTTGCAATTCATTGGTGACTGATCTGAAATTCGGTGCAGCCCCATTAGGATTAAGAATTCTCTGGAAATCTTACTAAATCCAAACATTCTTTGTCATAGGTACCTCAACCGATGATGCCAAATTACATGCATCCACATCCGATGCAACCGATGCCAATGCCCTATTTATATCCGCAAGGTGGTTTTCGGCCGCCCATGGCGCCACCACAGATGCACGATCCCAACTACTATGGTCCAATGAGGGCACCATTTCGACCGCCATTCCGACCATTTTTCTATCCACGTTCTGGTCCACAGCAAACGTTTAGGCGACCATTTCGACCGAACAATCCGCAAACGCAGAGGAGACCGTTCCAGCGTCGCCCATGAACTTATTCGATTTTAGCGAAAGGAGAATGCAATTCCAAACACAGTTCAAAATTACGCTCCAAAATTTGTCTACTCAAAAAAACACTTGATTTTCTTTTTTTCAATAAATGTAATTCTTTCGATTGTTTTTATAAACATTCTTTGACATTAATTCCAGCGAAGAAAATACTAGAAAAAAATAGGTCGATCATCATTATCAGTTTAGCATAAAATTTACCGAAAGAGAAAAAAACCGAACAGATTAATTAGTTTTTGGGTCAACTCGGATGGAAAATATGTAAATTTTCGCCCAAAAATGCGGGCCATCATCATCATCATAACTGAATGGTGTAAAATTTATTATTGATGCACGCACAGTTCGTTGTATAGGTACGAAACAACGTCGACGACGAAAAAAAAAATCTCTCGCATTTTAATAGTCAGAAGAATTTTTATTTTACAATTCCTTTCGAATTTGTGATTTAAACCGCAAAAAAACAAGTCGGCGATTAGCCTACTCTTTCGCACTCATTGCGAATCAGACATGAATTCAAACAACGTTCAAGTAAACATTCCATCGAAATAACAATATAGAGTACAAAGTAAACCGAAACTACAGCAACCGCTTCTCTCTTTCTATCGTACACACATTCACACGCACACAGTCGCATGCATCCATGCGAAGCAACAATTCGGTGTGGTTCAGTTTGATTGTTGATGTGTATGTAAAAGCTCTTCTCCGCCAGTTTTTGACACATTTTAAGTACGGTCGTATGACCGAACGAAAGAAAGAATAACAACAGAACCGAAACAAAACGTTGAGAGAAAGGAACGAGACAACCGTACGATTCGGATGGGTTGAAGTGAGTCGACCGAAAGTGTTCGTTTTGCAAGTGTTATTGTTCATGATTATGAATCAAATGAAGCAGCGATCAGTCTCATAGAGTCATTGGGCAAAATGGCCGAAAGTAAAGGTTCTCTGTTAGCAAAATCGGTACAAAAACATGCAGGTCGAGCCAAGGAAAAGGTATGTGTTTTCGTTTCGGTTTTTGTTTTTGTTTTCTGTTCATCATCTTCTTCTGTGTTCTCTCACATCAAAATCCCATTCATAACAAGATGAAAAAGATATGAATAGTGCAACTGCATATTAAAAAAAAAAAAAAAACAGACCACACAAATATATGGTGATGTTCTCTTGGGTCGGGATTTTATGACCGAAAATGACAGCAATTTTTATTTTAGCACAAATGATATGCATTTGCCACAGAGAGATAAGATTAAAAAAATGACATGAGATGAACAAACGTATGGCTATTCAGCTAATTCAACATATATTTTCATTTGTAATTGATGAACACATTTATAGAATTAAAAGTTACAAAAAAAATTCCAATGACAAATGAATTATTATTTGATTCGTTGAAAAATGAGAAAAACAAAACAATTCGCCCGCTGGATTAGTACGAGAATTAATTAAACAAAAACAAAAACAGTGTGAATTTAAAAGTTTAAAAAAAAAACAGAAGTCGAAGCAATTTAAATGACAGAAAATAATAATTCCACTTGAGATTTTTCGACTAATCAAAAGAAGTATAAACAGAGTGTGAAAAGAGCCGTGAGATGAATTCGAAACGATTTTTGCATTGGAATCACCTCCAGCGATATGGAAAAAACGAAATAAAAATAATTCAATTAATCAGTGGTTGACAAAATGAACTCGGACAATCTATTTTTCTATAACCAACGAACGGAATATTTAAACTTCTCATCACTGGTTGCTTCGGTTTCGTTGCGTTGCAGTGCAAAAATTAATTTTACAAAACGACAAAAAATTTAGTTCTCATTTTTTTTTTTATTAATACGGTGAAAATATTTGACGAAAAAAAGAAAGAAATCAAAGTAACGAAAGGTTCCGTAACGGAACCAAAAATAGATTCTCGACGAATTTTATATGCGTGTTGATGTTGTTGTTGTTGTTGGTTCTTTTATATATCATTTTCGTTTGCAATGTGTAATTATGAATGTGTTCTGAGTGTGTGTTGACGTTAAAGGCGGCGGATGTCTTTTCTCAACTCATGTGTGTGCTACAACGAGAAAGAGTTATGTGATTTGCAAGAAAGTAGCAGGATGAGGACGAAAAGTAAGAAAAAAAAAACCAATGAACACGAAAAAATCAGAGTTAAAAAAATCCCACAGTGACATGACCGACCGATGCGGACAGAATTTAGTTGAAATCTACATTACAAACATTTCTCACATTCTGCCCTTAAATCGGATACGAATATGAAATGAATGCACAGAGATTTCCGACACGGAATTCGAGTGAATTGTGTGTAAATTTAAATGTTCTATGTGTGAGGGGGATACCGAGAGAGAGAGAGAGAGAGAGAGAGAGAGAGAGAGCCGGTGACACAATAGTTAGCCCGCCTGCCTAACTGCCTTCGATCTCTCAAGTGTAACGTGCGTAGTCCGGACGCGAATCGCATTCGTGTGAATTGAGATTCTAATTAAATTGTCGCCTCTCAACAAATACAAATCGCACGGGGCAAGGCAGAGTGAGAAAGACAGAATCCCATTTTGCCGCTACCACATTTTCATCAGAGCATAGCGTGGCACACTCACCGCCAATCGAACTTTCGGCTTATGAAATAGATGTATGACCTAATATTTGTCGGTCATTTTCGGCACACACACACACACACACTACACACATATACACATATCTCGCACCGCACTCTTGCCAAAAAAGAACCATATAGTAAAGTACACATATATCGAACAACACTTTTTACGAGCGACAACATATTTTATAGATCCAAGCAGGCATGAGACATATCCGTTTCGAAAAATTGTAAGCAACACACGATGAGCACACATAATACGCAGTGAACAACAAGACGAAGAAAAGACGGAAAAATATTGTGTCGCTTGCGCGCCATTCGCACAGTGTCATGCAAATGAGCGCAAAATTATAAAAATAACGGAAAAGCCACGCTTCGATCAGCGGCCAAGAGTTTTCGAGACCAAAATCTCTAAACTTCGAAATTCTGAACGAAATGAAACCGAACAAAATTTTCAGTCGGTCGGATTTTGTCACTTGACTCTTTCGGGTGTCTTCAATTAAAAATAAAATCAGTGTGTTTGAAATATGCCCCGCGATGATGAATACACACATCTCAAAATGCCGTCAAGGAGAAGAGAGGAAAATAACGACACGGTGTGTGCCGGTTGAGGATACTGTTTTCTCTCTCTCTCTCTCTCTCGCGCGCGAAAAACTGGGCTTACGCACATTTATTTCGCGTGTTTTCTTTTCTGTTTCTCGTCTCTTCACCTCGAATATGTGTGTCGTTGAGTTGCTGCGGGAAAAAAGGACAATGTACCGGGAACCAACGCATTTATTTATGGATTTACTATGTGTACCGAAATTACCTCAATCCTCTTTAAGAGAAAAAACAAACAGCGACGATCGACCGAAATACCAAGTGATTAGATTAATCTGGTTCGATGTCACGCAATGATGATATTAAACGTGCTATTTTGCACAATTGAGACGTTTCAGCCGTGTGTGTTGGTGTGTCGAAAGAGAGAGAGAGTGAGACACGAAGAGAGAGAATCCATGGCTGCTGCCTACGTCATTCCATATTAAAAAAAACACTTTCTGTCTCTGATCGGTAATTATATGAAAGAAGGAAACAAAAATTCCGTTGAATAAATGATGTTGCGAAATTTTTTCCCGTTCGTAATGCAAGCCGCGGTCATCATGGCATCAGACTGAAATGAAAACCGAAGAAAAAAAAACCGAATTGTGGGTATCAAAATCAATTGGCTGTTGGTGCCAGCACACAAAAAAAAGTCCAACCGCATTTTTGTATCCGCCTGATGAATTTGGTGCTTGGCTTTGCACTCGGCGGTTTCTAATCCAAATCGAATGATCAACATGAAAGCGTAATATAAACTGCTTGTCATTAATTATGTCCAATGATTAATTTGAATATGAAGTTCATATTTTGCACCGCTCGAACTCATGATATGCCAACCGAAAGCCAAACACACACACACACACACACACAAACGAAAAAAAATTCAAGTAATATGAGCCAAAGTGGAACACGAGCTCCGCACAAGCCAATTCAATCGTTTGCTCGCGCGCATCGAGAATTAAATGGTGGAAGAATCCGAAAGAGAGATCATTGAAACAAAAACTCGAATGATAATGCGAAAGTTTTGTTTTTCTTCGTTGTTTTACTTGTCGGCTAAGCGCGATATCAGTGGCAAATAAAGCATGATCTCTTTTAGCAAACAAATCATCCTCGTTATGCGGCGTTAATGTTGAGATAGTCACATTCCGAGAGAGAGAGAGAGAGAGAGAGAGAGAGAGAGAGAGAAACAAATCAACAACATTTCATCCGACCTTTCACTGAACAATGGATCCATAGACATATTCCGTTGTTGCTGTTGCGGTTGGTCATCATTTCGGTGGCTCTATACAATTTATTGCATTCCATAATGAGCGGGAGTATCCGTTTGACCGAAGCAGAATTTTGAATTAACGAGTTTCTTATCTCTTCTCGTTCACTGCAAAATGTTGAATTGATATTAAATCTAGACTAGACGAAATATGAATTCAATTTACTGAATTTTGATTTTGTCTCGTGTGAAACGCTCACACTTGGGCTTAGTTTATCGCCTTGTTCCATCTCTTTTGTGCTGGTTCGGAATCTCTCTCGCTCACTCGTTCATTCATTCGTTTGTTTTAGCTCTCGGAACCAATTCAATCATAACGAAACCGAAGCAGTACAAGTGAATGTCACAGTTCGTGTATTTATACACAGACTATAATCGACAAGTCGAGTATGAGCGATATATATATTTTTATCCGCTTGCTCGGTGTTTCTTGCTCTTCAATTCCACATTTTTGCATTTTCGTTCGTCGTCGCGCGCGCGCGCCTGCTCTCGTTTGCTCGCTAAGATACTTTCTCTTGATGCAGAAAGACACTCCGAGCTAGCAAAAAACACAAAAAGGAAGCAGCAAACGAAAGCATAAATGTTGTAAACGAATGAGATGAGATTACACACTAGTCAAGGCCCGGCCATACAGACAACGTTTTGTGTGAGAATGTGAACGAACCGATCGAATGAAAATGAAGCAAAGAAAAAAGAGCACGCCAACGAACCGAACGCCGTTCGTTCCATTTCAAGACGACTTTGAAGTGATATTTAATAATTGTGACCATTTTCTATGATCTGTGATCATCAATGAGAGAAGTGAAGATAGGCACTTGTGGTGCCAAGCCATATAAAACACACACAAACATATTGACAAATCTGAACGGATGTACACTTGGCGTGCGATAACTATTGGGTCACATACTCCGTTCGGCCGGCTTCGGAAATCAGACGGGAAAAAAGAGAGATATATTAATGCGTCTATTCGAAAAGAGCAATTCACCGAACGACAGCGAGTTTCGATCAATTGCCACAATTAATGATATGTACTTCGAAATAACACTTAAAAGCATTGGCTATCGTCATAAATTGTGTGTATCGTGTTTTGATTAGCGCAAGCAAATCTGTTCAACAACAGAACCAATAAAAACAACGACAACAACAGAAAATTATGATAGAGCCACTCTTCTTTACTCTTTAGTACTCTCGTACTATTATTCATAATCATTATCTATGGCAATGGCCAATTTCTCTCGCCGCTCTACAGATAGAGACGTTTTTTCTGGTTATTTACATACTGCGTCACAGATAGACAGAGTCGCCAAAAGCATTTACAATCATATCTATTTGAACGTCGATTAATTCGAAAGTGTTTAGAGTATAGCGACTACGACAACGACGCATATATTTACCAAATGGAAATTAATTATCAATTATTATCTTCACGTATGTTTTTGATGTGAAAACTCTTTTTGGTGTGATTGTATGACTGACTGATTGCTATGGTTTTGGTAGCTGCTTGCACCCGGACAGAGAGTGTGTCATTCTAAGCAATTTGTTCGATACAGAGTGTCATTCTTA